CCCTGTCTCTATTAAAAACACAAAAATTAGCCAGGAGTGGTGGCATGCGCCTGTAGTCCCAGCTATTTAGGAGGCTTGAACCTGGGAGGCGGAGGTTACAGTAAGCCAAGACCACGCCATTGCACTCCAGCCTGGGTGACAGAGTAAGACTCCATCACAAAACTACAAAATAATAATAATAATAAATATATATACATATTCTTAATAGCAGCTCCTTTTCCCTCCTTGCCCTCCTTCTCTATCTCACCTTATACATCTTATCAAAAAATTTTTTCATTCATTCAACGAATACTGACTGACTCTTCTCCTCCCCAAGTGTCAGGTTCAGCACTGAGGTCAGGCAAAAAACAAGATGAACTCTCTGGTTTAATGGAGCTTAGCCTGATGGCTAGTAAGCAGTTTATAAGTACATATACAAATACATGACCACTAACTGGAATAAATCACACAGGAATTTACTGGGATGATTGAAAAAGGTCTTTTTAGACTGGGTATGGTGGCTCATGCCTGTAATCCCAGCACTCTGGGAGGCCAAGGCAGGCAGATCACCTGAGATCAGGAAAGTCTGAGACCAGCCTGACCAACATGGAGAAAGCCATCTCTACTAAAAATACAAAATTAGCTGGGCATGGTGGCGCATGCCTGTAATCTCAGCTACTTGTAAGGCTGAGGCAGAAGAATTGCTTGAACCCTGGAGGTGGAGGCTGCAGTGAGCTGAGATTGCACCATTGTACTCCAGCCTGGGAAACAATAGTGAAACTCTGTCTCAAAAAAAAAAAAAAAAGATAAAAAGAAAAACGTCTTTTTAATTGTCTGATCATAATTAGGGTAATGGCTATTTGGTTTTACATCTACCAAAACTAACCTGTACATATTACTGTGTGTAAATTATTCCTCAGTGAAAAACAAAATGGTTTCAAATTGTGCTTACTGCAATGGAGAAAAAATAAAGAATGCTATGCTATAATATTGGTTAAAGGATCTGGGAAGGCTTCTCTGAGGAAATTACTTTTTTTTTTTTTTGAAACAGTCTCACTCTGTCACGAGGTCACACAGTGGAGCGACCTTGGCTCACTGCAACCTCCACCTCCTGGGTTTAAGCGATTCTCCTGCCTTGGCCTCCTGAGTAACTGGGACTACAAGCACATGCCACCACACCCAGCTAATTTTTTTTTGTATTTTAGTAGAGACGGGATTTCCCCATGTTGGCCAGGATGGTTTTGATCTCTTGACCTCGTGATCTGTCTGCCTCGGCCTCCCAAAGTGTTGGGATTACAGGTATGAGCCACCGCGCCCGGCCAGAAGAACTGACATTTAAGGTAAGACCTGAAAAATGAGGAGTTAGCCAGGTAAAGGGGAGAAGGAAGAGCTCCAGGCAGAGGGAACATTCCAGCTGGAGAAAGATCAAGGTATATTGAAAGACGCCAGAAGCCCAGCGGGTTGAAGTGTAGAGCATATGGGGGTTAAGAGGAGATGAGGTTGGAAAATTAGACCAGGAATGGACCATACGGGGCCTTGCAGTCAATGATTTTAGATTTTTTTTTTTTTTTTTTTGAGACTGAGTCTTACTCTGTTGCCCAAGCTGGAGCACAGTGGCATGATCTCAGTTCACTGCAACCTCTGCCTCCCAGGTTAAAGTGATTCTCCTGCCTCAGCCTCCAGAATAGCTGGGAATACAGGCATGTGCCACCACGCTTGGCTAACTTTTGTATTTCTAGTAGAAACGGGGTTTCACCATGTTGGCCAGGCTGGTCTCTAATTCCTGATCTCAGGTGATCTGGCTTCCCAAACTGCTGAGATTACAAGCATAAGCCACTGTGCCCAGGCATGATTTTAGATTTTATAAACACATCAGGCACAATTGGTAAGCACCTGGCTAACTCATTTTCCAGGTCTTCTCTTAATTTATTAGTTCCTTAGAGAAGCCTTCCCAGATCCTTTAATCAATATCATACCATCCTTTATATTTTCTTCATAGCAACAAGCACAATTTGCAATCATTTTATTTTTAACTGAGGCATAATTTACATACAGTAAAATGCACAGGTCAGTTTTAGCAGATATAAAACTGCCAACGTTTTTTTTTTAGACAGAGTCTCACTTTGTCACCCAGGCTGGAGTGCAATGGCACAATCTCGGCTCACTGCAACCTCTCCCTCCCAGGTTCAAGTGATTCTCATGCCTCAGCCTCCGGAGTAGCTGGGATTACAGGTGAGCACCACCACGCCCGGCTAATTTTTTGTATTTTTAGTAGAGGTGGAGTTTCACTATGTTGCCCAGTCTTGAACTCCTGAGCTGAGGTGATCCACACATCTCCGCCTCCCAAACTGTTAGGATTACAGGCATAAGCCATCATGCCTGGCCTGCCGAAGGTTTTAGATAGTAGGACCTGATTTGCAAATACCACTTTGGAAAATGGACAAAGGTAAGAGAGGGAGCTGCTGTCAAGGAGGGAACTGCTTTCAAGGGAGCATTGCAGCTCGCTTGAACTAAACTGGAAATAGGTTCAAGACTTACTTTGGAGGTAGAATCAACAAGCCTTGATGGTAGATTACAAGAGGGGGTTTAAGGAGAGTTGTTAAAGATAACAAAGGTAGGCCGGGCGCGGTGGCTCACGCCGGTAATCCCAGTACTTTGGGAGGCCGAAGCGGGCGGATCGCAAGGTCAAGAGATGGAAACCATCCTGGCCAACATGGTGAAATCCCATCTCTACTAAAAAAAATACAAAAATTAGCTGGACGTGGTGGCACGTGCCTGTGGTCCCAGCTACTAGGAGGCTGAGGCAGGAGAATTGCTTGAGCCCGGGAAGCAGAGGTTGCAGTGAGCCGAGATTGCACCACTGCACTCCAGCCTGGCACCTGGTGACAGAGCAAGACTCTGTCTCAAAACAAACAAAACAAAAAAAGATAACAAAGGTTTAGGGGCATATGCAACTAGGGAGAGAGATAAATGGGACTTACTGAGATGTGGAAGATGGGAGGAGAGTCAGATTCTGCAGGCAGTGAGAAGGCTGGGATCGAGAGGACTCTAGGATAAGAAGCTTTGAAATGTCAATGGGATCTCTAAATAGAGATGTTCAGTAGGTAGTCAGATCTATAGGTCTGTGCTATATAGGTAGTCAGATATATAGGTTGTCCAAAGTGGTCTGGACCATGATATAAAAGAGGGAGTTGTTGGCATAGAGCAGACATTTAAAGCTCTGAGAATAGGTATTACCTATTCTCTACCTATGTAGAGAACACAGAGCAAAAAGAGATGCTTGATGTGTCCACTGGATTCAGTCATAAAAAGGTTATTGGTGGTTTATGCCAAAATAGATTCTATAATGTGGTGGGAACAAGAATTAAACTGAAGAGTATCCAAGAGTGAATGGGAGATGAGGAAGTATAGACAGCTCTCTTGAGAAGATTGGTTATGAATAGAGAATAGAGAGTAGTAGCTGGAAGGAAATATGGGGCTAAGTAAGTGAATCCAAAATTTCCAGTTCTCTTTGAAAATCCAAGAATCTAACAATGAGCCTGCTTTTCCCTCGGGCATCAATGAGCTGAAGGTGGATGATTATATCTTTTAGGTGAGGCTTGAGCTTTTCAGTTTGCCATTTTCTTTTCAGCTCACTTCCCTAAATGATCACTTCCCTACCTATCCCCTATAAGTATTTGCAATTCCCCCATTCTAGAACATGTCTGATGGGAAGGATTCAGTAGAGAGGAGGTTGAAACTGCTGATAATATTTCTGAACTATTCTTTCCACTCTTCCTGTCACAATCCCAACTTAACTCCACATTTGTTCCTCCTTAACATAGCCCCAAATCTTCAAAGAGAGTCCCAGTGTCTCAGATAATACACCAAGCTTCATCATCTTGTCATTTCATTCTCTGAAACAATAGTTCTTAATTGAGTGAGGGAAGAGTTGATTTTGACCCTCAGGGGGCATTTGGCAATATCTGGAAATATTTTTGCTCCTCAAAACTGTGAAGGGAGGGAGTGCTACTGGCATCTAGTGGGGAGAGGCCAGGGATGCTGCTAACTATTCTACAATGCACAGGACAGCCCACTGACAACAATTATCCAGTCCAAAATATCTATAGTGCTGAGGCTAGGAAACCCTGCTCTAAAATGGGATCTCCACGAGAACCAGGGCCTTGTCAATCTTGTTCTAGAATAGTGTCTGGTAAGTGCTCCACAAATATACCTTAGGAATGAAGCTAGCCCCTGCTTATTTCACTTACATCCAACTCCCTTCCCCCACTCATGCATTTTATGCTCCAGTCACAGAGAACAGAGGGCCTGCAGGTTCTCACATGGGCCACTGTTTCAGAAATTATGAGTGACTTGCTGCTTCTTTACCATTTTCCCTGCCAAATACAATACGATCACATGGCCAGCTCCCACAAATCCCCATCCATCAATCGCACTAAACCCAAATATACTAAAACACTACTCTCAATGCAGCACTTTCCCCTACAAAGTCTGGTTCAACAAGCCACCCTGGGCAACAACACTTGGCAAACTAGCAGCCAGAAGGCTAAATCAAAAGCAAGTTTTTGGCGGGGCACAGTGGCTTACACCTGTTAATCTCAGTGCTTTGGGAAGCTGAGGTGGGAGGAACACTCAGGAGGAGTGTCAGGAGCTTGAGACCAGCCTGGGCAACACAGCAAGAACCTATCTCTACAAAACAAAAAAAAGCAGGTTTTTGCTTGGTTGACATACTCTTTTATTAAATTTTACTATTACTATTAAATAATTAAATGCTCTGAAGCCACCACTCTCTGGTGGCTCTGACCCCTACCTCTGGCCTAACATATCCAAAGGGTCACACTATTTGTCAGAGTCCTGAGGCATGTGAGTCTGTGACTGCTCCACTGCCATGAACACATGACATTCTCAGGCAAAGGTGTCTGAGCGCCACTAGCGCCGGAGGGAGACGTACCTGTACCTCGTCATCCTTGCGGATGGGCATGGAGCGGACATTGTACTTCTGCCGCAGCTCCTTGGAGAGCGGGGATGACATGATCTTCCTGCGCACGTGCGAGGGGGCATTGAAGTGACGTTTGCGGTTTTTGCTGCGGTCCGAGGTCACGAAAGGATTGAACTTCATGGTGACCCTCTATAAAGAGCAGAGAGAGACGGAATGAAGGTGCGCTCCGTGGGTTACCGAGGCCTGTTCTCGACCCAAGATCCTTCTCCCCATCCCCGCACAAAGGCTCTACGGGGGAGGTGGCCTCTAAAAAGGCAACTGAAGGAGGAGAGAGGGACGTGTGAGTGGTCTATCACATAAAGTGAGACGTGTGTGGAGGTCACATACTGACAAAGGGGTCGTGGGGAGAGGCTGGTACTGGGACCTAGAGGTTGAGGAAGGAATGTTAGGATTACGCAGCAATGAATGGTCGGGAGTTCACGCAGAGAGCTTTGGGGTGGCATGTGTCCCCGCGACACATACGGGAAGGTCTCGCAGGGCTGTGGGCTTCAGAGTCCGAAAAATCTTCAGCCTCCAGTCAGCCGGCTATCAGTGGCCTCAGGACGCTAGCACACGGGACCGGAAATGAAGCTTCCGTGCCGCGCAATCGCAGAAAGATATTGATGCCCCATTTCCGTCGGAGTGAAGCAGCATGGCGCCCTCTGCGGCTTGGGGTGGGGTCGCAGCGTCTCATTCCTAGGGATCCCGGGAGCGCGACGCGTACTGGGAACTCGCAAGAGTCCGCGCCAGTGAGGACAAGGGTCTACTTGTGTAGGGCCTGCAGTAGAGGGTTACTGGTATTCTTTTAATGGGCACACCTGTCAGTAGTCTCTCACCTACTGCACACTCTTTGCCTGCGTTTCCCTCCGCAGAGGAAGCTACAGAGGTCGTCTAGGCGTATATATTGTCTGGTGTTTTGTTTATTTTTTATTTTATTTGTTGAGATAGGGTTTCACTCTGTCGCTCAGGCTGGAGTGCAGTGGTGCAAACACGATTCACTACAGCCTCAACCTCCCAGCCTCAAGCAATCCTGCCTCAGCCTCCTGAGTAGCTGGAACTACAGATGTGCGTCACCACACCTGGCTAATTTTTTTATTTTTTTATTTTGCAGAGATACAGTTTCACTGTGTTGCCCCCGCTGGTCTCAGACTCTTGGGCTCAAGCAGTCCTCCTGCCTCGGCCTCCCAAAGTGATGGGATTACAGGCTTTGGTCACCATGCACCGCCTGTCCCGTGTTTTAAACATTATGAGGTTCCAAATGCCATCTGTAGAGCAGCTTCTTCAGAATCACAGAGAAGCCTGTTCAAAATACAGGTTTTCAGGCTCCACCACAGTCCCGCAAAACCAGACAGTGGTAGGACAGGGACACATCTGAATTTAAAGCAGCATTCTTCCCCTACCCTCCAAGATTTTGAGGTGCACTAATGCTTGAGGATTGCTGTGACTCAAAAACCTGGCTCTGCAAAACTTTCCCCTAGTTGTTTAGCCCTGTTCAGAAGAGTGGGGTTTTAGAATCAGACTGGACCCAAGTACCTCTTCGTTTGGCTGGTCCTAGGGTGACTGCCCACCACCCCTCCCCGCCGTTTCAGTCTTGGTTTTCTCTTTTTTTGTTTTTTGAGACTGAGTTTCATTCTTGTGCAGGCTGGAGTGCAATGGCATGATCTCAGCTCACTGCAACCTTCCCCTACCGGGTTCAAGCGATTCTCCTGCCTCAGCCTCTGGAGTAGCTGGGATTTTCAGGCACCCCCTCACCATGCCCAGCTAATTGTTTGTATTTTTAGTAGAGACAGGGTTTCACCATCTTGGCGAGGCTCGCCTTGAACTCCTGACCTCAAGTGATCTGCCAGCCTGGGCCTCCCAAAGTGCTTGGATTACAGGCGTGAGCCACTGTGCCTGGCCAGTCTTGGTTTTCTTGTCTGTAAAGTGGGGATGATCTTAGTAGGTACTTCATATGTTTGCTATGAGGATTAAATAAATTAATCCCTTTAGAGTGTTTAGAAGTGACTGGCACGTAGTACTATTTCTTCTTTTTTTCTCTTTTGTTTTTGAGACAGCGTCTAGCTCTGTCTCTCAGGGTAGCGTGCAGTGCTGTGATCTCTCACTGAAACCTCTGCCTCCCAGTCTGAAGCCATCCTCCCACCTTAGCCTCCCGAGTAGCTGGGACCACAGGCAGTTGCTACTGTGCCCGACTAATTTTTGTATTTTTTTGTAGAGCCGGGGGTCTCACTTTGTTGTCCAGGCTGGTCGTGAACTCCTGAGCTTAAGCCATCCGCCTGCCTTGGCCTACCAAAGTGTTGGGATTACAAGTATGAGCCATAGCGCCTGGCCAGTGCTATTTCTAATAAAAGGAGAAGCCTATGTGTGGGGCTTGCTCCAGGACAGACCTAAGACTGGACTTCACATTAACCAGAGTCCTTACATTCAGACTTCTATCATCACTTCTCGATGATGCACACTGTAAGCTTTCCGTGTGCAATGCGCCAAAGCTGGGGCCCCGGGTGTCCTACCTCTACCTTTTTTTTTTTTTTTTTTTTTTTTAGCATCAGGGTCTCGTGTCACTCATACTGAAGTGAAGTGGTGCAATCATAGCTCACTGCCGCCTTGAATTCCTGGGCTCAAGCAATCCTCGCTCCTTAGCTTCCTGAGTACTGGGACTACAGGCCCGCACCACTGTGCTCGGCTGTTCATCTACTTAACTCCTGGCCTCAAGAGATCCTCCCCACCTCGGCCTCCCAAAGTGTTGGGATTACAGGGGTGAGTCGCCGCTCGCTCCTACCTCTACTTTTTTCTATATCTGGGACTAGACGGCTGCGGCAAGCCTGCGGGTTTGAGACCGTCGCCCCGCCCCTCTCCTCTAGACCCCGCCCCTCTCATACAGACCCCGCCCACTCCGGCCGCCCCGCTCCCACCTGTAGCCCTCGTGGCCCTTTCTGCCCGCGCCCGGCCCCGCCGAGTCGCTCCCGAGCTCCGCTTATCGTCTGCCGACCCCCGGAGGAATGCCTAGAGGGGCAGGCGCCACCCAACCACTGGCTAGGCCCATACCGCCCGCCCACCCGGGTATAAAAGGTCTCCGGTCGCGGCTGCGCTGTGAGGGAGACGTTAACCACGCCCCCTCCATGGTCACGGTGGCGGCGGGGGAGAGAGGGCTCTGAGCCTTGGCTTTCTTCAGGTTAAGAACCCAAGGGGTTTATTCTATGCAAGGTATTCTTTGTTCACTAATTTTAGCCCTCCCTGTCGTTGATTCATTCCATACCTATTGAACGCCAACTTAGTGACAGATGCCGGGATGCTGAAACTCCGAGAGGAAGATGTCTTGCAAGCCAAACATCCACACTCAGGCGGGTCGCGTGCTCTCTCCTAGTTTATCAGTGTTCCCTGACATGTGGTAGTGAAATTGTTAAACACCCGCGGCCGGGCGAGGTGATTCACACCTGTAATCCCAGCACTTTGGGAGGCCGAGGCGGGCGGATCACGAGGTTAGGAGTTCGAGACCAGCCTGGCCAAAATAGGGAAACCCTGTCTCTACTAAAAATACAAAAAAAAAAAAAAGCTGGGCGTGGTGGCGAGCACGTGTAATCCCAGCTACTCGGGTGGCTGAGGTAGGAGAATCGCTGGAATCCGGGAGGGGGAGGTTACAGCGAGCCAAGATCGCGCCATTGCACTCCAGCCTGGCGGACAGTGTGAGACCCTGTCTCAAAAAACAAACAAACAAGAAAGGAAAAAACCACCCGAATTTACTAATACTAGGTTTTATTCCGGGCCCCTAGCAGTCAGTTGGAGACCTCTGGAGAATGGCCACACCTGGGCTGTTTGCAGAAGCCTGGGCAGCAGAGCAAGCAGAGTTAAAGCACGTGAGGCAGTATCAGCTGAAGGGCCACCCAGCTGTGTGTGTGCCCAGGCTCCAAGAATAAGGAGGTTGGGGGGCAGTCCTAAGAAAGGAAGTCATTGCCCATCAGCAACCCAGGAGCAGATGCTGCCGTGAGGGTGCACACACAGAGAGAAGTTCAGAGGTTCTCCTCAGAACAGTCCTTAGGTGTTAGTCAAACCCATACCCCGCCCCAAGGAGTTCATTCATTCCCTCACTCACTGGCTCTCTCTGTTCATTCACTCACTTCTCTATCACATATCCATTTATTGTCATTCACCTACTTATTTACTCATACATTCATTCATTTGCTCATCAATTTATTTGGTACCTACATGGAGCCAGGTGCAAGGTTTGATTTAAGAGATCTAGGGAGGAGTGCACCCAAGAAGCTCAGAGCCTCACTAGTGAAGGAAAGTCATGTGAGGACAGATCTTGAGAACCCAAGATCTTCAGGGAGTATCTATGATCAAGCAGGGTAGGGAAGGCTTTTTGTTTTGTTTTGTTTTTAACACGCTGTGTGGTTCAATGACATTAAAACAGGCACAATGACATCCTAGATGACAAGAGCTGGAGGCACTCTGTAGTGGGACTGGCTGTCTTGTCTTACGCCCAGCCCTGGAAACATGCGCAGGAACTGGTATAGAAGCTCAAGCACCTACACAGAGGAAGTGTCTGGTGAGTATTTTTATTTCGTGGAGGCAGTGGCTACATGGGGATTTGCTTCAGCTCTGGCACCCGAATCGCTTGGGTTTGGATCTCTGCCACTTCCTGGCTCTTTGGCTTTGAAGAAGATATTCAGCATCTTGGTCACTATCTTTATTCCTATCTGAAAAATGGGAAGAATGACAGGACTTACCTCATTGTTTTGGTGTCAGTATTTTTTTTTTTTTTTTTTTTTTTTTTTTGAGACAGAGTCTCGCTCTGTCACCCAGGCTGGTGTGCATGGTGCTATCTAAGCTCATTGCAACCTCTGCCTCCTGAGTTCAAGTGATTCTCCTGCCTCAGCCTCCTGAGGAGCTGGGACTACAGACACATGCCACCATGCCTGGATAATTTTTGTATTTTTAGTAGAGACTGAGTTTCACCATATTGGTTAGGCTGGTCTTGGAACTCCTGACCTCAAGCAATCCACCTGCCTCAGCCTCCCAAAGTGCTGGGAATACAGGTGTGAGTCACCACACCCGGACTGGTGTCAGGATTAAATGAACCCTAGTACAATAGCTAGTACAGAGGAAGAACTTAATAACTGTTAGAATTTATTTATTTATTAGATGAATAATCATGGCTCTTAGTAATGGGCTGAGCATTTACTGTCAGGCATTGTGCTAACAGGTTTACAAGCATTAGCTCATTTCAGTCTGTTAAATAACAGTATGAACTGTCCCTGTTACAGGTGAGAAAACAGGCACCGAGTGAGATGGGAACAAAGGATGGACATTAGATGCTCAATATGGTTATTATTTATCTTGCAGCCAATCAAGATAATAATGTGATCCATATTTATTAACCTAGGAAGATGTCTATTAAGTGAGGGCTAAGCTACACAATAATGTGAACAGTATCATCCAATTTTGCTTATCAAAAGGCATCACTAAAATGTGATCACTAAATGATCATCTCTGATTAGTGGGATTATGGGTGACTTTCGTTTTCCCCTTTTACTTTATCTTATATTTTATGATTTTCCTCCAGTGGGCTTGTGAGCCTGTATGATTGGTGTAATTAAAATTACATTTTGAAGACTAAAAAATTTTAAGAACGCTATCCCTGCTAATGTTTAATTTAGATTTTCTCCGCAGGTTGTTTTAAAAGAAAAATAACACCAGACAAGGCACTTCCTGCTCTGACCACTCTTATTTCCAGTTTTCCCTTTTGGCACAGCAAAGATGACCTTGGGACTGAGATGGAACCATGTTAAACTTCATAAGCCCAGAGTCAGGCAGACCTGGGTTTGAATTCCATCTTTACTAATTGCGTGACTCACTGTGTGGCCATGACAAGTTACCAGGTCTCTCTGTTTCCTCCTTCCTAAAAGGGAGATAACATCCATCTCGAAAAAAGATCAGGCCCGAAGAGCAGTCACTCTTGCCTGGCACGCAGAGAATGCCAAATCCTATCAATGACTGGCCAGAATGAAGCGCATGACCTCATCCCTACATAACTGACAGGAAACAGCTGCTGGGGCAAGAAAAAAGCATCTTCAGTAAGTGTCTTTGTCCACAAACATCCTCACTCATGTTCCTGGACTACTGCATCTATCTGCTGCAGCAGCTAATGAACCTTCTGGAACTAAGTATCCATTTCTTAAGAAGGGATTGAGACCTCCAGTGGCCTGCTGAATTGTTTCTGGCAAGAATTTAAAAATTATTTGTAACATATAGTAATAAAAACTAACCACAAAATGGGCACAGTGGCTCACACCTGTAATCCCAACACTTTGGGAGGCTGAGGTGGGCGGATTGCCTGAGGTCAGGAGTTCAAGACCAGCCTGACCAATATGGTGAAAGCTCGTCTCTCTTAAAAATACAAAAATTAGCCAGGCATGGTGGTGGGCCCCTGTAATCCCAGCTATTCAGGAGGCTGAGACAGGAGAATGGCTTGAACTCGGGAGGTGGAGGTTGCAGTAAACTGAGACTGGGCCACTGCACCGCACTCCAGCCCGGGCAACAGAGTAAGACTCCATCTCAAAAAAAAAAGAAAAAGAAAAAAACCAACCACAGCTACTATTAATAAGCCCTAGTGCTACACCCTATTTCTTCCCAGGTTTCACTCCCTCTCTAATCCCTGCCCACCCCAGCCAGTGTTGACTGCAATACTTCAGCTTCTCCCCTCATGAAGCATGTCTCCAGCGACACATCTTCTGCAATACCTTCCCAGGGAAGCCATTTCTGCCTGGACCACCACAGCTCCCAACCTATCACACACCTCTGTAGGGTTTTGCTCTATAATCCTGACTTAGAAATCCTCTTACATTGAAACCACTGCAATCCACATCTGATTAGAAAATTGGAAAAGTTCGTTGAAAGGAGAAATAAAAATGGCATCCATCCCTTGAATGTATGTCAACGTAAAACACATTGGACAATGACCCTGGGCTAAGGCTTTACCACTGAGAAACCTGTATCCGTGTTCACCTTCATTTTCTTCACATAAACCAGCCAAAAAGCTTTAGTTGTTTCTTTCTCTCTCCCTCACCACACTTCCCTCTCCCTCCCGCCCTCCCTCTCTCTTTCTTTTTTGAGACAGGGTCTCAGGCTAGAATGCAGTGGCTAGATCTTGGCTCACTGCAGCCTCTACCCGCCCCCACCCCCACCCCCACCATAGCCTCCCCACATAGCTGGGACTATAGGTGTGTGCCACCATGCCCACTAATTTTTGTATTTTTTCTAGAGACGGGGTTTCATCATGTTGCCCAGGCTAGTCTCAAACTCCTGGGCTCAAGCAATCCTCTCACCCCAGCCTCCCAAAGTGCTGGGATTACAGGCGTGAACCACTACACCAGGCCTCCCAAGTCTTTTACAGTAGTCTTATTCATTTCTATTCAGTGGCATTTTGAAGAGGGGATAACAATTCACCTTGATCAAGTCTCTCTAAAGCATTCAACTTAGTTTTACTAGGTTCATTCTCATAGTTCATTGGTTTAACTAATAGTTCACCAAATCATATTCTAACAGTATAAAAGCACAACTGGCATAAACAGGTTTGAGAACACACGTTACTTGAGTATCAGGATGTAAGAGAGCGAGCACGGGGAGACTGAATGAAGAATTTCTCGAAGACTGAGTCCCTCCCATATTCATCACTGGTGTGTTTGTCCGTGTTAATGCTGTTCTGATGAAGGTCTTATGGGATTGGACAGCAAGATGGGAAAGATCCATGGAAGTCCATCGCTCATAGCTGATAATGATCTCTGTTTGCTGAGCTTAGGGGTGAAAAAGGAGTGCAAGGTCCTTTGAAATCAAGAATTTATGAATCACCTTTCATTTACGAAGTCCTTAGCTCAAAGCTCTAAAGAAGAATGTTAGCCTTGTTCTCAAGAAGATTATATTCTATTTAGGAATGCTCATAATGGTACAATCAGCATTTTTGAAAACTTACTGTGTACCAGGAATAAACACTCTTCTACACAGACAATCTCATTCTAATATAATTTCTTTGCACATATTATAATTCTGTTTCCAAAACAGCCCTATGTGGTAGTTTTGTTACTATCATGATTTTTCACCCAACATATGTGAAGCACTGAGAAGTTAAGGATCTGGACTGAGGCTGCACAGCTAGAAGGTGGCAGACCCAGGAGCATTCTCTAGGGACTCAATAAAGGAAGGGCTTAATCTAAGGAGGCTTGACTTTTTCCTTTTTTTTTTTTTGAGATGGAGTTTTGCTCTTGTTGCTCAGTCTGGAGTGTAATGGTGCAATCTCAGCTCACTGTAACCTCCACCTCCCAGGTTCAAGCAATTCTCTTTACCTCAGCTTCCCGAGTAGCTGGGATTATAAGCGCCTGCCACCACACCCAGCTAATTTTTGTATTTTTAGTAGAGATGGGGTTTCATCATGTTGGCCAGGCTGGTTTCAAACTCCTGACCTTAGGCCGCCTTGGCCTCCCAAAGTGCTGGATTACAGGTGTGAGCCACTGTGCTTGGCCAAAGGGGGTTTGACTTTCTGATCATCCTCACAGATCTCCTTTTTAACTCTTCTATCTTCTCTCCTCTAGAAGTGAATTCCATTCGGTTGTGATTCCAGTCTCTGGGTTACCCAGCCCCAGTCAGGGTAGAAAGAATCACACAGCAGTATTTCTGAAAATCTTTTAATCTAGTTGAACCCAATGAGTGGGGAAAGAACTAAAACATTTTTTTCCCTTGAGATTCTGATTATAAGAATAACAGGTCAGAGGTGTTTCTTCCATAGGAAACTGATATCCCCTATGTCCTCAGAGGTCTTTTTTTTTCCAAAAAAATGCATAAAAGTAGAATTTCAACTCATGTACATGCCACACATTTCCATCCCCACCCCACCCTACCCCACCCTCTACAGGCACACATATTCACACACCAAAGGGACTCCTTTCTTGTAACTGGGGAACAGAATGTAAAAAAAGAAATCCATCCAAGTGGCCACAGATACCAGAAATAACCAAATGCATTTACACTCACAACATCAGTCAACTCATATGCACAAGGAGAAGCTTCTCCAATTGAAGCTTAGAGCCAAAAATTACAAATGGCAGAGACTTGAGCTATCCATAAGATAATTTTAAAAATCCTTCCACTGGACACTCCCCTTCATTACAAAAGTATGCAAACAATCTTGCTATAAATGGAAAACAGGTGGGTGGCTCTCTCCCTGGGACATGAGGGCATAGCTAAAATTCCCTGGGTGGAATTAATGCCTGGACCATTGCCCCTCCCTTTCAGGACAAAAGGGAAAGGATGAAGAGGGGCAGCAAGGTAGGGACCCACCTCAGGAACAGGTGGGGCACCCTGGAGGTACCCCAGGGGCTGGGAACGTGTTGGCATGTGACCAGCTGATGGGGGAGCACAGTGGCAAGTGGGCAATGACTGGGCTGCAGAGAGACCCAAGTGCTCCGCACCTGTAGGGAGTCCACAGAGAGGACAGGGCTGGCCTGCTTTGCTTCCTCCACCTAAGGCCTTGGGACTGATGGCATCCATCTGAGAGAGGCTGCACAATTATTTTAGGGTTGCAGGAAGGACGCTTCCCAGCTAGACATAAGTGCACAAGCAATGTCTATTTGGATCTCAAAAGATGATTTCCCCTTCACGCAACCCCCACTCCATGCCACTGCAGATCCCAGCAGATCGGTGGGGGGTCTTGGCAGTGGGAACCAGCCTCTTCACCAAGAAATGCTGTTGCCACACAGCACACAGGCTGAGGCACATTGGTGGGGGATTCAGAGGAACAAGGAGAGGAGAGGAAGAGGAATCTGTGACCCGCCTTGTGACTGGCGGGCAGATTCAAGTTTCTACCGCTACTGCTGAGCAACTGGGCATCTGCTTCTTGGAAGAACAAGAAAGGGGTGGGGGTAAAGACTTGAGGCCTGGGCTCTAAGTTGGGCAGGAAGGGATGGGGCAGAAGTCAGGGTTCCATCTATAGTGACAAATTGCAGGGGCTTACTTGTAAGTACCATCCTTCCTGAAAGTTGCTGGGTGTATAAAGGAGTACCTTTGGACCTGGTCCCAAAGCCAAGAGCCCAGGTCTGGTGCCTCCGGGGTGGGTTGGCTGCCCAGGGGAGAAACCAAATGATTAGTGTGTCCACACAGTGGGGGCTGTGAGATTGTCAAAGCCTGGCTAAAAGCTCATCAATGTGCATTCTGGAATGTTCCCTTAAGAGAGAAGAGGCTACAGCTCTCTTAGGAGGGAGTCCCCAAGATCCCTGGACTCGCCACCCCTTGCCTGACTCCTGTGCCCTGGGGTCTTGGGGCTCCCCAGGGAAAGGGGAACCACAACTTCAGGCAGTGTAATTTGTCTAAAATGAAACACGGGGAAAAGAGGTAGCTGCGAAACCTCGAGCCATCCTCTACTTTCCCCCTACCTCCCGCACACACTTTGGGACACAGCCAGATTTGGGCTGAAGGCCAAAGGAGACAGGGCGCTGGAGGCAAGGCTGGCGGTGCCTGGGGTCCTCGGCCATTAGGCTGGGTGCAGCATCAATGCATCTTGCCCAGCTGGATCTTCTTCCAGGCCTCAGAGGCTGTGAAGATGCATGAGTCCAGAATGCCGGCGACGGTGAAGGTCCCGCCAATGATGGCACAGATCTGTAAGAGGGCGGGGGGGGGAGTGTCAGAGGTCAGTGCTGGAGGGTGCACCAGGCCAGACCCCAACCACAGCATGAGATGATGGGCTCTGCAAGGGCAGGCACTGCCCTTTGAAGCCCAAAATGCCCACTACATGGTCACCAAGAGTCGAGAACATACTCAGGGCTCAAAGAAAATCAATTGCTGTATGGTAGATTTAATAATAATAAAATAATTATCACCAACATGAGTTCCTTTAATTCCCATATTCACCCTCTGAATGAGGAAGGGAATTATTAGACCCATTTCACAGGGGAGGAAACTGAGGTTCCTTGGGTAACTTGCCTAGGTTCACCATGTAAGTAGCAGAGATGCAACTTGAACACAGGTACATCTGGACCGTGTGGTCTTAACCTCTACTCTCTGAATTGATCACATATTTACAATACCATCTGCAGATGAAGACAATGGAGTTTCTGAAAGGCAGTCCCAGGGCCCAAGGTCACACAGCCAAGAAGTGGCATCCTGGGACCTGATATGTAGTAGGCAAATAGTCACATCAATAAATGCAAAATTACAACCAAGGCAAGTGCCGCAAAGGAGAGAGAGGCCTTTGGTGCTACCAGAAAGCTTTTATTAGGGCAAGGTTTCTAATGCTGCTATTGACATTTGGGGCCAGGGAATTTTTTGCCATAAGGGTGTCCTTTGCAGTGAAGGGTGTTTAGCATCCCTCTGAATCCTGTGGTCATTTAAATGCCCTTCAAATGTGGCATGGGGGGAAAAGCAAGTGCCACATGCACTGTGTGACCTTGGACAAGTTACTTCCCTCTCTGTACCCCAGAGAGGTCTCTACCCAGGAGATGCCCATAGTCCCCCCTTCCCCATGTTGTAACAACCACAATGTCTCCAAGCATTGCCAAATGTCCTCAGAGGTCAAAATTGTCCCTGGTTGAGAACGGTGGTAGCCAGGGGATGATAACAAATGTCACCTGTTATACTGTACTTCATAACTGTCTGCCACATAATAATATACTAAACACAACAAAATACACAATACTTATGCAGTACCTTCCCTGGGCCAGGTGGTTTTAAGTGCTCCATGCCTGCCACTTCAGTGAATCCCCAACTCAACCCTAGGCGGTAGGTACTATTCTTAGACCTATTTCACAGCCAAGGAAACTGAGGCACAGAGACCCTGAATCCCTCATTCAATGCCACAGCAAGTGGCTGAACAGGAGTTCAAAACTGGAGTCTGTGCTCTTAATGCAATACCCTGTTGCTTCTCAAGCGCAAAACACTTACCTACTTGAATTACAAAGCCTTGCAGCTGTCAGAACACCATTTGGGACTAATCAAACTAACATTATGTTTTACTCAAAATGCTATGGCCTATAAACTGCATTCCGATGGATT